TCCCCATGGGACAGATGCCATGATGCACTGTCTGAAGAACTGTCCCAGAGCCTCTTGTTGCTGCTACCACCCAAAGACTGAACAGGCAGAATGTTTTTCTCATAAAACTCAGAGTCCCGGGAACCAGCAGTTAGCGTAATGGCTATGTCGCTGGACTCCCACGTAGTCGACTGTGGTTCGCGTCTCGGACCCGGTGGCTTAAATCTCACGCCGGGCGTGTGTGCGTGCGTGCCCAAGATCCCGAGAGGAGAATGGAGGAGAAGGGATTGTGGCGTGACCATCCCCCCTGGGGGGCGATTTCTCGCTTTCTGTCTCTATGTCTCTGTCTGTCTGGCGAGCGCACGCGCCCTTATAGCGAAAACAAAAAAAAAAAAAAAAAAACCTCTCCAAAAACTCAGAGTCCCGAAGAGTGGTCTTGGAGGTCAGCTCAATAAACTTATCGAGTACCTACTCTGTATGGGCTATAATGAGTAAAACTCATCAAACTCATCCTTGAGAAACTAGTTTGCTAGCACAAGGTCAGCCAGGATACCAAACACAATGTGAACAAGACTAGAGAGTGATAATCCAAAGTGTGGTCGCAGGACGCAGGTAGTCAATGGTTACCACTCACGATAACGCAGGAAAGTTGTGCCAGAATGCAAATCAGTTCATCACCAAGTACACTGTTTAGTTCAGCTAATTGTGTGTGTGTGTGTGTGTGTGTGTGTGTGTAGTAACAAGACTTTCTTGATGAAGAAAGCAGTGGGTTGATTTACAATTGTGCACAAGTTCATCACGTTGAAGGAATGATAGGGAATGAGACTGCACTGTGAATAGTATTGTTACAAATCAGCTATGATCGAGGAGTATTAAAGAGGTCTGAGGTCTTCATGGAAGAAAGGGATACAATAATGTATCTTGATGAAAAGGTAGCAGTTGAACAAAAAGAAATGGGCAGAGAGAAGAGAGGTAGGTGCATTGATAAAAACCCAAACTTGATTCCAGTTAGCCATAGGGTATTCTCAGGGGCCAACTGGAGGTAGGCCTGGAGGACAAACAAGCAGGCTAGGCAGAGGAATGGAGTAGCAACTGAGAAGGTCAAACCTCTTTTAATCTAAAAGGAGAAGCCATTAGAGCTCTTTGAACAAGGCAGAATATGTTGTAGGACAATTGATCAAGTGTCAGAAATGAAAGCCAGTCTATAAAAAGGCAAGAAGGGGAGAGAGAGATAACAGTAGACTTGGGTCAGAGAAGGATGCTTAGAAAATTACTGGCGCTGGTATACAAGGATCAAAACAGACAGTTCTGAGTGCCAAGGCCAGGTTACAAAACATTGTTTCTGCCACTCACAGAAGTGGAAAATTTCAACGGAGGAGGTGCTGTGGTGGTGTGATCCTGGTATGTAAATCAGGAAGTGTATCCAGCAGGACTTGGGCGTAGGCGTGTGGAAGTCAAAACAGATATGAGACTTGTGCTCACACACCTGAGAGTTAGCACCAGAATACACTGATGATGGAAAATACCAGCAAGGTGAAAAGTAGAGAAAGAAGAATCCGAGACTTGGAGAATCATCCAGGTTTTTTTGGTTTTTTTTTTACCTTTTTAAGGTTTGGCCATAAATGCATGTGTTCACCAGAAAAAGGCAGAGAGAGGGAAAGTAAGCATCACTCCCTGCAGGGAATGGCTACCGTGCAAGCCCTTCTCTTCTACTCTCCTCTTGAGATTTCAGGCATACACTCCTGCATATCATCTTTCTTTTCTTTTTTTCCTTTTAATTTTTTTGTCTTTCCTTTTCTTTCTTTCCTTCTCTCTTCTTTTCTTTTAAGAGAGATTTTTGGCATAGGGTGCATGTGCTTGCCGGAAAGACAGAGAAAGACAGAGAGACAGAAAGTGAGAAATCACCTTCCAGAAGGGATGGCCATGCCACAGTCCCTTCTCCTCAATTCTCCTCTTGGGATCTTGGGCACGTACACACATGTACGCAGTGTGAGTTTCAAGTCACTGGGTCTGGGACTTGAATCACAGTTGACTATGTGGGAGCCCAGCGACATGACCATTACACCAACTGCTGGTCCCACCTGGCATGATTTTTAAGCTGATGGGTCCATGACTTAATTGCCATTTGCTGTGTGGGAACCCAGCACCTTAGCCATCAAATCTCCCGCTGACTCAAATTACCTTCATTTTAATGGTGGACGGAAGAGAAGGAGGATGGAGCCAGAAAAAACAGATTGAAGTACCTCTAAGTAAGAATCTGAAACTCTCAGTACTGCACACTCATCGCAGACAGTGCTTTAGGAAAATGTGGCCCGTGGAACTGAATGCTATGGAGTCTGATGAAGACGATGCGCTAGTAACTGAGAGCTGAGTTCCTGAGGACAGTAATGAAGGCCATGAAGAAGACACAAATCAGATTCCAGGATTAAGGAGAGGAGAGTTGGTTTGGTATGGAGAGGAGACAGTAGACTTAGATGTCAGTGTGAAGGAATCTGGTGGAAAAAGTTAAGAGTGCGGAGACACGGTGCCAAAGGCAGGCTTTTGACAGAATGAGGAGAGGTATAAGCAAAAGGGAATGAGAGTGCAGAGTGGGGAAGATGCAAAAGCAAAGGAGCACTGAGAGTGGCAGGGACTGCAAGGGAAGAACACTGTTCAGGGAAGAGGATCTGTGGTCAGGGAGATGGGAGCAAAAGAAGAAAGGACAACTGAAAATCGTGACAGATTCTAAGGCAGAGAGGAGAGCAGTGGACAAAGCTCAGGGCACCGTCCTGGTTTTCTCTGTAAAGTCAATCATCAGCTGAGGTTGAAGGGAGACAGGCTAGGTTTGAGGTCATTTTCCAAACTGGTTCATGGACTTGCCTAAGGTCAAACAGCTAGAAAATGTTAATACTCAGGTCAGGACCCACACCTTTCACCTGCCAAGCGCAGCAATCTTTCTGCCAAAATAAACTTTGTTATTCTAATATGAAGTCTTAGGTCTTTCCCCAAGTACCCTGCAAGGAGCTAGACTGACTCTTTAGTCCAAAGTAGTCTCCTTTAAAAACAGTTCACGGGCCAGCAGGTGGCGTGGTGGTTGAGGTGCTGGACACTCCCACATGACCGATCAAGGTTAGAGTCCTGGACCTGGTGGCTTGCTTTCTCAGTCCTCTCTCTCTCTGGTCAAAATTAAATCAATAAATAAAAATTAAATAAATAATTCTTTAAAAAAAAATAAAAACAGTCCAGGGATAGCAGACGGCATAGTGGTTAAGGCACTAGATCTCACATAGCCAACTTCATGGTTTGAGTCCTGGACCTGCTGCTTGAACAACATGCTGGGTGCATGTGTGTGGATGCCCAAAATCCCAAGAGGAGAATGGAGGGGAATGGATCGTGGTGGCCATTTCCTCATGAGGAGTGATTTCTCACTTTCTCTCTCTCTCTGGCTCTCTCTAGTGAGTACATGTACCCTATAGCAAAAACCTAAAAAATAATAATAATAATACTAGGTCATCAGAAAAGTCATAACATATTTTTCTATGTTTTCCTAAGCAAAAGTGCATCATGACTTTTCCAACAACCCAACAATAATAATCAAAAATAAAAACGGTCCTATGGGGCAATTTGAGACTACTAATGAAGTAGTTAGAATTTAACTTTTCAAGACTCAATATTAAGGAATCTCAAAAATTCAAAAAATTTTTTTAATTCCAAATCAAGACCACCTCTTTTTCCAGGTGAAAAAAAATTGCAGAGAATTCTCTAATGAGCTGCTTCTTTCTTCAAATCCTTGACTGAATTTTTAATGAAGTTTCCTACAATCAATCTGGGTGAAATAAGAAAGGCAAGTTTTGCTCTACTTAGACCTTCTTATGGCCAAAGTCCACGACTTCTGCAGCTGTGTCCTCCTGGTGACACATGCGCTGGAGACTGGAAACCTTTTCTGAGAGAGAGGGCTGGTTAGGAAGGTGTCCCTGGAGATCAGGCTTAGGAGTTCCTTAGGTGTATAGCACTTGGTGTCAAACCCTGGCCTGGCCTCCCTTGAAGTGACCTGAGCCCACATTTATCCAGGGTCACTATGCCTATAGACCTTAAGCAGCTCAGACGTCCACAGAAAATAGTAAGTACACTGTGGTCCTAGGCAAGTCTGCTCTTCTCCTTTTCGATTAGATTTAACTAAAACTTGTGTGCAAATAGGAAATGATATTCTCCTATTGCTTTAGCTTCAATTGAGTGTTTCTCGACCTCAGGACTATTGGCATTTGGGGCTGGACAATTCATTGTTGTGGGGAGGGGATACTGGGTATTAGGAAGTTTAGCAGCATTGCTGGCTTCTACCCATTAGATGCCAGTGGCATAACCTTTCCACTCAAATCTATGACATCCAACATGTCTCTAGACATTGCCAAAAATCCTGGGGAGGAGAGATGGAGCAAATTGAGAACCATCACTTTAACCTAATGAGGCCACATACAGCTTTTGCCATAAAAACAGCCCCAAAAGCATGGTTGTATTCAGGTTGCCTTGTAGAGTAGATTTTTTTCCCCACAGGGTAATGACCTGTGACATGGGAGAATTTGATGGGAAATTTTTTTAAAGAATTATTTCATTTCATTTCCTTTATTATCATTATCGTTTGTTTAATTTGACCAGAGAAAGGGAAAGTAAGAAAGCAAGCCTCCAGGTCTGGAACTCGAACCGCAGTCAACCATGTGAGAGTCTAGCGCCTTAGCCATCATGCTACCTGCCGGCCCTGGGAAACGGCTTTTGGCTCTACTCTCTTCACCTCACCAAAATAACACATTCCATTGTCCATTGGAACGGCGCACCTGAGTGTACAACGGAGACCTCTAATGAAATAAACTCACCGATTTTTCTCCGTGACAGCAGGAGAGTTGCCTGAAGTCTCTGCAAAGCCATGGTTGCATTCTGCTTGTGGATGACTTGTATGATCTACAGAGCCCCTGAGAACTGAGAAAAAAATGAATGAGTGATTAGAGGTCTCAGGATAAATTCTGAAATAGGCAGGGTTAGACTTCAATGCCCCACTGTGTTCTCTGCAGCCCTTCCTTCTCTGCCTTCAGGGTGCTTCCTTTGGGCAGCCTTATCTTCGACTATGTCATTAAAACAAACCCTTCTGGACTCCAGCTCTCTCTTGGTGTTAGGTTCTGACCAGCGAAATGAATGAAATGACTCATGCTTATAGAAAAACAAATGACTTCTCTCTGGCAATAGACATAAAAAGTAGACAGAAATGAAAAGCCCTTAAATGAAGTAGGTCCCAGTAGAAGCATGCAATAGCTGGAATAGGCCTATGCCAGCCAGAGTTCGACCAGCTTCTGGACCTAGCAGGGCTGTCCACTGATGCAGACAGTAGCTCAAGGAACAAATTGTCACAAAATGTGTAGGATTAACTGCAAATAGAAAATCATTCCAGGAGTGACCCATTTCCACATTTTGATTTAGGACAGCTTACTGCCCTTTGATGAATTTCTTAAGAGTGAGGGCAAAAAATACAATTCCTCATTCCTATGACCATGGCAGCCATGACTAATCAATCACAGCTCTCTTTTCCACTGAATGTAATTCAGCTTCAAGTTCCTTCTTACCACGACTTCACATCAGTGGTTCTCAAAGTGGGGATCTCAGACCAGTATCATCAGCATCATTTTAGACTTGTTAGAAATACAAATTCTTGGGCTCCACCTTCGACCTAATAAATCAGAGATTCTGAGGGTGGGGTCTGGCCATCTCTCTCTATTTTTTAAAAGAACTATTTTATTTAACTTTATTATTTATTTATTTTAATTTGACCAGAGTGAGAGAGAGGGAGAGAAAGTTCGAGAAAGTAAGCTGGCAGGTCCAGGACTCGAACCAGTAGAAGCATGCAATAGCTGGAATAGGCCTATGCCAGCCAGAGTTCGACCAGCTTCTGGACCTAGCAGGGCTGTCCACTGATGCAGACAGTAGCTCAAGGAACAAATTGTCACAAAATGTGTAGGATTAACTGCAAATAGAAAATCATTCCAGGAGTGACCCATTTCCACATTTTGATTTAGGACAGCTTACTGCCCTTTGATGAATTTCTTAAGAGTGAGGGCAAAAAATACAATTCCTCATTCCTATGACCATGGCAGCCATGACTAATCAATCACAGCTCTCTTTTCCACTGAATGTAATTCAGCTTCAAGTTCCTTCTTACCACGACTTCACATCAGTGGTTCTCAAAGTGGGGATCTCAGACCAGTATCATCAGCATCATTTTAGACTTGTTAGAAATACAAATTCTTGGGCTCCACCTTCGACCTAATAAATCAGAGATTCTGAGGGTGGGGTCTGGCCATCTCTCTCTATTTTTTAAAAGAACTATTTTATTTAACTTTATTATTTATTTATTTTAATTTGACCAGAGTGAGAGAGAGGGAGAGAAAGTTCGAGAAAGTAAGCTGGCAGGTCCAGGACTCGAACCACAGTCAGCCAAGTGGGAGCCCAGTGCCCTTAAGCACCACACCACCTGGCAGCTCCAGCCATCTGTATTTTTAACAAGTATCTGGGAACTCTTGGTCCATGTTGAAGTTTGAGAGATACTGCTTCCAGACCAATGACGTTTAGTTCTGTCTGTACATTAGAAACACCCAGGAAGATGTTAAACGTGCTTTGACCCAGTCCCTGGAGATCTCGAGGGTGCTGTGGGTGGACTGGCATCAATTATTAAAAGCTCCCTACATGATTTTAATGTGTGGCCAGGGCTAAGAACCACAGTTCCAAAAGTGATGACCAATTAACCAGGGGACGAAGAGATTCTGCACCTATTTGCTATCCTTATTTTAGATAACCTAGAAGACTCCAAACCAAAGTATAACCAACAAAGGTAATCTGTAAACTTGGCAGCTAGGACGTATGTAGAAAATACATAAAATATATAAGTTATGATAGGACATAAGACAGGGATGGAGTATACTGAAATAAATCAATAAATATAGATATCAATTGTTTTTGTGCTGCGTGCTCTGGAAAAATTATGTTCTGGTTTTTATGTTGTTAATTTGGTTCCTTAAACATAAATATCTCTTGTGTAGAAGATCTATAATTCTTCAAGCTATGGTGGTGTCTCAAAACATCTGTTGTTATTATTGTTATTGCAATCAACACCAAAAGGATAAAGAGAAAAGTTGAAGTGGAACATTATTACATTTTTATTATTATGCAAAAAAACATTATGACCAGACAGTGAAACAATACTAAAAGAAGAAAAAACAAGTTGAAATTTTAAAGAGTATTTTAGAATTTCATTAACTGGTTCCCTCCCAGTCCCTTCCTGCCTTCTCTTGATTGAAAACTCCTCCAATTAGAACACTAAGCAGGTCCTGGTCCTACCCCTCCTACTCCTAGCCCTCCCCTCTGCCCCTACCCCCTCACTACCCCTTCTACTCCCAGCACTCCTCCTCTTCCCCCTCCTTCCCCTTTTGGAGATTCCTTAACGCCCTTTGGCCCAAGCTCATATGTAATACTGTGATTAGCAACATAAAAGCAAGAATTGACATAGAAAAGAAAAAAGAGGAGCCCACTTCAGGGACACACAGATCTGTTTCCCTATTAAGGAGAATCACTGCAAATAATTTTTAATCTTGTTATCTGGCCCAATTCAACAACACCAAGAGCTACCACTGATCAAAGCCCAAATGCTATTTCCAGTGTGCAGAGCCGAGATTGCAAGCTTTTGTCTGTACCTATTTTGAGATCCTCCATAAAAAAAGAAAAAAATGAAGTAATAACAGTTTAATAGCAGTTCCAAAAGGAAAAAAAGCAGAGAAAACCCAAAAAGCCCCTTTTGGTTTGATGCAGGCTTCTCTTTATGAAGGTGCCATGTCTAAGACCAGAAAGACAGGAGCAACAATAATTTTTCTAGGGGCGTAAAAAATGCCCTCAGTTACTTTGGGTGTTCAATAAAAACCCATAGAATTTCTGTTCGTGTAATTGTGGAGAAAACTTATTCCATGTTTCTTATTCATTTACACTTCAGTCATCAAAATATTGATTTTAAAAGTTATTTGAAGTATAAAAACCAAACAGAAACTTACAGAATATTCTTAATAAAGCTTAAATGAAGCCTGCTCCTCTATCATACAGCTTTGCCTGAAGAGCAGGGAAAAGGAATTGGGTCAAACTAAAGAGATAAACTTAAATAAGTTAAGATTTTCAGACCATTGAGTTCAAAGCAGGACCCAAATTTGTCACAAATTTCTCACAATGTCCTGGTGACAGATGAAATCACCTAGCGTCTTTCTGGCAAATTAATCACTGAACAAGATTAGAGAAATGGAGATAGGACAAAAAAGAGAGCAAGAGAAGTAAGGTAGCTCCCTTTCAGTGAATGAGTAAAGGGTCAGAGCAACAATCGGGCTGCGGAATAAAATTAGAAACTTGAACAGCAGAAACATTTCTCAAATGCCAAACGTGGGAACTGTGCAGATGGGGCCTTAGAGGGCTCTTCAGAGACTGGTCATCTTTACTCAGGGAAAGTCGTCAAGTTTTCCTGGTTTAATGAAGTAAAGCAATATTGGGAGTGGAGTTCTAGAGAACTCTAGAAAACTTCTAGAGAAGTCGAGTCCTTCCAATCTGATGAGCTCTAAAAACCATTCATATTTTCCAAGAAAACTGAACCAAGTCTTCAAACTGGACTTTTTTTTAAGAGTTTTCTTTTTTTCTTTTTGCCTTAGGGCACATGCACTTGCCAGAGAGAGGAAGAGAGAGAGAGAGTGAGAGGGAAAGTGAGAAATCCCCTCAAGGAGAATGGCCACACCATAATCCATCTCCTCCATACTCCTCTAGAGATCTTGGGCATGCATGCACATGTGCCTGGTGTGAGTTTCAAGCCACGGGTCTGGGACTCCAACCATGGTTGGCCATGTAACTGCTCCACCATCTGCTGTCTCCAAAACTGGGTTGTTTTTTTTTTGTTGTTGTTGTTGTAGTTGTTGTTGTTTGTTTTGTGCTATAGGCTGTTGCACTCACTGGAGAGACAGAGAGAGAAAAAGTGAGAAATAGCCGCTGGGGGTGGGGGGGAAAGTCACATGGTCACATGGCAGTCCTTTCTTCTCTAGCCTTCTCTTGGGATTTTGGGCACGCACGTACACACACTTGGCATGAGTTTCAAGCCACTGGGTTTTGTCCGGGACTCGAAATGCAATTGACCATGTGGGAAACCAGTGATATAACCACTGCACCACCTACACCACCTGCTGGCTGGCCCTTTTTTTTTTTTTTTTTTTTTTTTAAACTTGCTATGTATGCTCGCTGGAGACAGAGAGAGAAAGGGAAAATGCCAAAGCACCCTTCAGGGAGTGAGGGTGGCCACACCAGTCTCCTCTCCTCCATTCTCCTCTCAGAATTTTGGACATGCATACCTACCCAGAGTGTCTTTCGAGTCACTGGCCCAGGACTCCAATAATATAGCCAGACACATAAGATCCAGCTGCTCTAACCACCTGCCAACAACTGGTCCCAAAATGAACCGTTTCAAAATAAGATGGAAAAGTATTTGATTGTCAGGAAAAAAAAGAGAGAGAGAGAGAAGAAAACACCACAGCAGGTGTTGCGAATGCAAAAGGTTTTGGGGCCACAGCTTACATAAATATGTGAGTATCATGCAGAGAGGATGGAAAGTATTGGGTTTGGGATAAACTGTAGAAGATATGCCCCATTTAGAGACATTCAGGTTCAATTTCTTTCTTTTTTTAAAATTTTTATTTATGACTGATTTATTTTTAATTTGACCAGAGAGGGAAAGAGCGAGAGAGAGAGAGGGAAAGTGAGAAAGCAAGCTGCCAGGTCAAACCACAGTCAGCCATGTGGGAGTCCAGCACCCTTAACCACCATGCCACCTGCCGGCCCCTCTTTATTGTCAGAGGACTTCATTGGAAATAAAGAGAGAAATCTAGCCATCCCAAATAACACAGAGAAATTTGCCA